TGACCAGGACGTAAAGGGAGCTGTTCCATGAGACCATCATGGGGTGCTTCAGAGGACAACAAGGGCGATTGTGTAAGCCTGCCTGCCAGATGGGGTGTGAGAGTAGACCAACAGCCATGAGATTCTGGACTGGTTTTGTAGTCAGCTCCCTTCATAAACAAGCTCACACCGGTAATCCTGGCACCTGGGAGGGTGAGGCAGGAGGATTGTTGTGAATTGAAAGCCAGCCTGGGGTACAAAGTGAATTCCATGCGAGTTTTGGACTATAGAAAGAGATTTTGCTGCAAAAAACAAACAAACAAACAAACAAAAACAAAAACAAACCACACACACACACACAAAGACAAGCTCCAATTTGACAAAGACAGGAGCCCATTCTGGCCCCAGAGTTGAGGCTCCCGTGAGAGCCTGGCATCTCAACTTGGCAAGTCTATAGTCAGAAAAAGGTTCACCCTGTATGCTGGTACAGGAAAATATAAGTTTGAACATAAAACATGGGTGGTTCAAAATATGGACCTTTAATTACATTTCATTTTTATTTATTTATTTATTAAAGATTTCTATCTCCTCCCCGCCACCACCTACCATTTCCCTCCCCCTTCCCCAATCAACTCCCCCTCCCTCATCAGCCCAAAGAGCAGTCAGGGTTCAATGCCCTGTGGGAAGTCCAAGGACCTCCCACCTCCTTCCAGGTCTAGTAAGGTGGGCATCTAAACAGCCTAGGCTCCCACAAAGCCAGTACATGCAGTAGGATAGAAACCCAGTGCCATTGTTCTTGAGTTCTCAGTAGTCCTCATTGTCCGCTATGTTCAGCGAGTCCGGTTTTATCCCAGGCTTTTTCAGACCCAGTCCACCTGGCCTTGGTGAGTTCCCGATAGAACATCCCCATTGTCTCAGTGTGTGGGTGCACCCCTCGTGGTCCTGAGTTTTTTGCTTGTGCTCTCTCTCCTTCTGCTCCTGATTCTCGTTTACTACTGTCCTGGATCACACTGGGCAGAAGCTGCCATGGCTGCTGTCTGGTTCCCCATTTTCTCTCTTTAGAGTATAGCCGATCTTTATCCATAGAAGTTATTCCTGGACTTCTACATTTTCAAATTCAGAAGTATTTGGGCTGGGTGGGCTCACATAGACTCTATTCACTAGATCAGTGGTTCTCAACCTTCCTAATGCTGTGGCCCTTAATACAGTTCCTCACGTGGTGACTCCCGACCATGACATTATTTTTATTGCTATTTCATAACTGCAATTTGGCTACTGTTTTGAGTCATAATGTAAATATATGTATTTGCTAATGGGTTTAGGCGGCCACTATGAAAGGGTTGAGACCCACCCGTCGAGAACGGCTGACCCAGAAGGCCTCAAACTCACAGAAACCTGTCTGCCTCTGCTTCTCCAGGGCTGTAGTGAAAGAGACGCACTTTGGTAGTTGTGACCCACAGGTTGAGAACAGCAGCCCCGGACCCACAAAGGGGACTGTCGGCATGCAGCCCTGACAACAGTATTTACGATTTCAGAAATTAAAAAGCAGTGAAATGTCAGGACACAGCCCAGAGCCAAGAACATTTTATATGGAATAAATTAATTTTGTAGAAAGTAACAAGAAAAACTATTACAAAAAGTAATGGAACTCCCCATAGCCATGCTGGCCACTCCTTGGAGAGCATTCTTCTGTATCTTGCCAGAGAGGAACACAAGCCTAAGACCTCTGACATTTCTTTCCCAAGCTTCTACCTGGGAACCCTCTCCTGACGGCATAGTCTTTACTCTGTGGTAGCTCTAGGAGCATTTATCTCAGTATGTTATAGTTAGATCTCATCTGTCATCATCCCGGATTATGAACTGGGTCCTCCACGTTATAGAATTTACCCCTCCGATGGCACTGGCTGCAGAGAGGTGAGGCCATGGTTGCTTGTGGAATGAATGCATGCGTGGAGGTTTGCCTCACGCGCGTTGATGGAAAAAAGGAAACAGAACTCTTTACAGGAAGTATACTGTTCCACCCCTGGAGGATTCTGCCTCGCTATTTATGCTGAATTGCCAATAAGGTGGCAACACATGGCAGTGATTAAGCCCTGTAGGGTTGGCCACAAATGCAGGCATGTTTTGATTACTTCTCCATCATGAGTTCATTTGTTGCAGTATACTTAATTAATATTGATTTTGAGAAAGAATTTCTAGATAACAACAGGGGAGTAACTGTTTTTGCTCTGGTGAATTTTTTGTTGAATATTTTGTTGTAGTCTATCTCAAAGCATTGTTTTTTTTTTAAATCAATTTGACCAAAGGAATTTTTAAAATCAGTCCAAGAAATAAAAAAAGGTAACATTTCTGTCTTGTTGAAAATAATAGCTCTAAAGAAAGAAAATTATACTTTAGAAAAGATATCACAGGAATCGCGAACAGCTTCAGCTAGTTCTCCTGCATTTGAAATTATGTAATTATTATTTGTCTTTTCATGAAACATCACTAAGTGCCAGTAATGTGTGCCCATAATAATTAATCATAATGCCTTTTTAATAATATTCCTTTATAAATTTGAATGTTAGAAACCATAATGTGGGGGCTCTTTTCAGGAACAGGATGACATACTCAGCATCAAGACACCCCCCTCCTTACTGCTTGTTTTCCCCCCTGTGGCTCCCCAAGAATGAAGTTGGGAACACTTATTCACATGTAATCTTGCAGATGATTCTGTCAATCTCTCCACTAACGCGCTGGCCTGCACACATGGCTGTGGTCATTCTGTTCCTTTGTGACTGAAAAGTGAGGCCTGGCATTCTTTCCACGGGTTGTTTCTCCACCTTCCCGTAGTAGATTCCTTTCGTGACCATTGCAGTATGGCTAATGCATGGTGCCACTACTGAGGCTGGGAAGAGAGCAAGCTGGCTGAGCCTCGAGGGCATGGGCCCAAGCACAGCCTCTTAGGACATCGTCTTCCCCCTTGTAGCTACAGTCTCAGGTGCAGCTGCTTGGCCTGCTTTATGGAGAGCAAGGCTTTCTAATGAAGCCACATGATGCTGTTAAGAAACATCTTGGCATCTAAATAGTCTTCCTTTGTTGGATTGACCCAATGCGATTTTCAATTTAATTATCTTTCTTCAGATTAAGAAAATAATTCAGTCTAACAAGGAAAAGCCCAGGATTGGCCAATTCACTGCCAAACTCTACTGACCCTTTAAGAAGAGTACACGTCAAAGATCCTCAAACCATTGCATAAAACATAAAGGGAGGAGCCATGCCAAATCTATTTCACAAAGGCAGCGTTACCTTGTCACCAGAACTGGGTGAGGCTACAACAGAAAAAGAAAACTATAGGTCACCCTCCCAAAGGAACCCAGATACAAGAATTCTGAGTAAAATTTCTAGCAAACCAAATTCAAGAATGCAATAAGAAAATCATACACTATGGGCAAGTTGGTTTCAGGGTAGTGATGCAGGATTGGTTCAACATACATAAATCACAAAATGTAATACAGTACGTAAACACGTGATCATAAAACAAGGAAAAGTTACATGATCATTTCAAATCGATGCAGAAAAGACTCTCAACAAAGCTCAATGGTCCTTTGTGATGGAGGCCTCAAAGAATCGAGAGAGGTGCCCACTGTGGCTGCTCTTTTTCAGTAGAGCACTTTAAATCTTCTATGGGCGACGAGACAAGTGAGAGAAATGAAAGGGACACAAACAGGAAAGAAAGAAAGAAAGTTACCTCTGCTTTTGGATGTGACCTTATGCTTAAAAGATCCTGCAGTTTCCATTAGAAAACTTCTAGACAGAGTAAACAGTTTGAGCAGAGAAACATAGTACAAAATTAGCTTACAAGGAACATAATACACAATCAACAGACGAGGAACACAATGCAAAGTTAACATACAAAATTAGTTTTTCTACATACTACTACTGAACTTGCTGACAAAGGAAAAAAGAAAAAGAAAAAAACCCACACATTCACAGTAGGCTAAAAAAGGAATAAAGATCCACCCAGGAATCAACTCAACGAAGAAAACAAAGGCCTGTACAGTAAAAACTTCTAAGACAACAAAAGAGAGAATTTAGAGGAAGCAGTAGAGGAAGAAATGACCGTGACCTTCTGTGTTCCTGATTGGCAGAATTAATACTGTGAAGAAGGCTAAAGTATTGAAAGCAGTTTACAGATTTTTTTTTTTTTTTTTGATTTTTTGAGACAGGGTTTCTCCGTAGCTTTTGGTTCCTGTCCTGGAACTAGCTCCTGTAGACCAGGCTGGCCTCGAACTCACAGAGATCTGCCTGCCTCTGCCTCCCAATGGCCCAAGGGAAAAGTTCCCGACTGTGTTCTGACTACAGTGGTGAAGGTGATAGACTCTCACCTTTACAGTTTTGAGTGCTGTAAAGTTTGATGAAAACTGTGCCGCTTAGGCCAAACCAAAGAAGCCCACGAACGGAATAGAGAAAATCACACTGTTACTATGGTAATGGCTTCACATGGGCGGCTGAAGAAAATCATTTAGCAAAGTTATAAAACCGTAGTAAATATCAGATGGCTTTATGGAAATGTAATAAACTGAAGCCGTATATCACAGTGCACTTGAGCTCACTTTACATTTATGGCACACAGCAAAATTATAATGCAATCGAGGACTAAATGACCTATAAATGTTAAGCACATAGTTAAGCATGGAATACGTCAACCAGGGTCTTTGTGGCCTTTCTGAGTAATACATTCAAGTTAGATGCGAGAAACACGGCCCGTTTCTAAGCCCATGTACATTGTTCCCTTTCAGAGACAGATGCAGTACAAAAATCATAACTATTTTCTTGTAGGTAATCAGGTAAGGCGTCATGGGAAACTTGCAAGTCCTTGGGACTGCATACAAATTTATCAAAGTAAATACCCGGATACTGTTACTGCTCAGCCTGATCTGAAATGTAATTGCACTTTGTGTTGCTTGCCACACTCTCTGCTCTGTGAGAAAACAGCCGATTTTACTCAGGAAACACAACCATCACTTTGTCTTTTCTAGATACCATTGCAAGGAGCTGAGCTTGATGGTGGTTTGGGTAACCCCACCCTGGATGGAGCAGTCTCCTGCAAGGAATTATGTTGCTCCCAGCTGGCTGGTTCAGCTCTCCTGCAGAGGGTTCTGGAAGGGACACAGGCTTCCAAAGGCACCAAGAGGAGCCATTTCCAACAATGGAATGGAGGATGCATGCGCGTGCAAATTGTTTTGTCATGTAATTCAGACATCGTCTGCCGTGTGACCAAGAAGTTACATTGGATTAGTAAGATGACCAAATAACTATGCTAATTAGTTAGCTATTACGTTCTGAAAATCCAAAACAATTGAGTCAACCAAGCAGGCAAAGCCAAGCCATAAATCTAAGTGTTAACCAAGCAGGAAAAGCAAACCCATTCACCTGAGAACCCCACCTGCTCGAACCTCAGGACTTTCAATTTTCACACTCGGTGCTAGGTTCGCAGCAGTGACGACTACATGGAGGGTTTCCTTGGTGCTCGGGCACTAGTTCTCAATGGCTTGCACAAGCCTTGCCAACCACCTCGGTCCGCACTGCTTCATCTTCCCATCCCTCCAAGGACATCCACAGCACATCCAACTTCATTTAAAAGAAGCCATGGCCCTGGGCTGCGGGAAGGGATTTATTACACAGCAGGATTGAGAGTGGCATTATTCTTACACAAAGTTGCTGATTGGGCAGGTGACAAGCACAGACCAAAAAAAAAAAAAAAAAAAAAAAAAGCCCTTTAATAAAATTAATTACTTGCAAAATGTTCCGGGTGTCTTCTATAAAATTTAAATATATACTTGGGTACGTGAAGCGACGGTAAGTGAGGTTGTTACTAGGCAGATGATAACAGGAACGTCTTTTCAATGCGAGGTGCCAGCTAAGAGCTTTGCACGGGTCATTTCATTTCATATTCTCTACAAGGTTTAAGGTAGGCATTAATGTTGACTGTATTTCCCAGATGAGGATGGAGATGATTAGAATAACTTCCTGAAGGTCATGCGATGACTCAGTGAACGCACAGGGACCCAAACGTCAGTGTCTAGAATCTGTGTGTCATGTTGTACCCTTGTCCACCAAGCTGAGATCTCTCTGGGTTAAGTATTGCCCTGGATAGCATTCCTCCAACAGAAACAAAGGTATATCATTTGCACCCAGCACAGAGTCGAAACATGGGGTGTAGGCACATCCCCAAGTCCCAGGACTGATATACAGCTTGCCTATGGCTGTCACTGGGATGTGCGGAAGGGTCATTCTGAGGCTGCAGTGAGAGAGGAAAGCAAATGATGCCGAGCCCATGTCAGTGCTCATCTAGACGTGAGAGGAAGTGGTGAGCTGGGAGGTAAGATGGTGGTGTGGAGCTCGAGAGAAGGTGAAACTCCAAAACAGGGTGGCGTGGATGATGACAGGCTGCTTCGGGGGAAAAAGAAAACTGTAGAATTGGAACTCGAGCTAATGTCTTGAGCGGGGACCAGTACCCACAGGGGGAGAAATGGAATGAAAGAAATAAAACATTATCAGTATCTCAGCTTCCACCTTCTTCAGAGGACCATGGCTAATCACGTGGTATCATCCCCTTTAGTCTTTTGTTCCACTCTGGGGAAGAAAGATTTGTGTACACAGCTGCCTCAAGTGCTGTGTCCGCCCCCCAATATATCCACATATTTAATACTTTTCCATCTTAAAACACTTGTCAGGGACAAATCTGTTTCTCTTTTTGGCTTCAGGTGGCACAATGACACTAAGCATGTGTCCCCAACCTGCCTTCTTCCCCATGTCTACGGGTGGGGAATTCACCCTTAGCCTCGACTTTAGCATCCTTGGCATGCAATCTTCCTTTCTTATTGAGACGTTTACGTTTGCAATGGAAAGAAGCGCTCACGATTTTCCTTTAGCCTATAGGACTCGCCATCCTCACCACTTGGGCTTTGGGGTCATTATCAGCTGCAATGACAATGAATGGGTTTATAAGGTCTATGTGAACAGGTCCTTGGGTGCCCTGACAACTGGATCTAGTGGAAGATATCAAATTCCCTATGCATGGTTAGTGTACATAGCATGGGCCCACTGAGAAAGGGATAATTCCCTAGAGGGTGGGATGAAGAGGAATGTTGGCATCCATCACATGGCAGATTAGTACGCAATTTAAAATGTGCTGTTGGATTTAAATGGTTATGTTGGTGGTTAGTTGAAACCCTGGCAACTGGATCTGTAGGAGGCCAAGCCAAGGATAAGTGATGGCCACTGTGTATAAGGAAGAGTATATGTAAAATATGTGCTTGACATGAAAACTATGCGTACAGAATCCTTCCTTGCAACTGTGGCTCATGCTGAGATAATCAGGTAAATACTGTCTCCTCACCCTCCTTTTGATTCTCATTTTCCTAGTTTCCCTTTTATTTGTGTTGCCTATTTATGGTGTGGGAGGTCCTTCTGTCTGTGTGTTGCTTTCATTGGTTAATGACTAAAGAAACTGCCTTGGCCTAGTTGATAGGGCAGAACTTAGGTAGGTGGGGAAGACAGAAATGAATGCTGGGAGGAAGAAAGCAGGATCAGAGAGATGCCATGGATCTGCTGGAGATAGATGTGCTGAATTTTACCTGGTAAGCCACTGCCAAGTGGAGATACACAGATTAATAGAAATGGGTTAAATCAAGATGTGAGAGTTAGCCAATAAGAGGCTAGAGCTAATGGGCCAAGCAGTGATTTAATTAATACGGTTTCTGTGTGGTTATTTCGGGGCTAAGCTAGCAGGGCAGCTGGGATAAACAAGCAACCCCTCCTTTCAACAACATAGTTTGTAACTTGGCTTTTGAATCTCTGGAATGAAGACTACATTTCCCAGCCTCTTTAGCCAGCTGTAACCACATGAATGGCCAGTTAGCCAAGTACCTTGTACAATTCTTAAAATATATATGCAAAGAAAAGAGACATAATTTCTTCTCTACTCCCTTCTTTTGGGGGGGGGGTCGATAGATATCTGGAGCCTAAAAAGCCATTTTGGACAATGAAATGGAGGCCACATGTTACAGATGTAAAGTTGCTTGCTTACATGGAATGTCCTCCTCCATCTTTTTATTTTACTTTATTTGAGACAGGGTCTTTCTGTGTAGCTCTGGCTGTCCTGAAACTTACTCTGTACATTAGGCGTGGCTCTGAACTCTCAGAGATCTCTCTGCCTCTGTGAGGACCTGACTTTGTAAACTCCGTTTTAGAGAAGGGGCTTCCTTTTAAGCCATATAATGGGGGGTGGCTGATCTCATCTCAGAAATGGGCTGCCATAGCAGAATTTGAACAGGTGCCCTGAAAGTAGCCCATTAAGGGGCTAGGGAGCAGGGTCATAAAGTTTTAGGAGGTCCAGATATACCTACGAGGCATCCTTCTTAATGGCTCTTTGTCAGGGTTTTCGCGCTCAAAAACTGACCAGTGATTTCAGAAACTACCTTACCCTATGCTCTCCTTACCCAATCAAAAAATGACATGACATGAACTGCCCTGATTATAGCTGCTGTTTCCCCTTTAAAAATTCTCCCCTTCCCGGGTGCGTGCTGCGCTTCCTTCACCCCTGCGTTGGCATGTTGGAGACGTGGTCCAAACTCGAGTCTGAATGTTAAAAAACTTTTTGGGCTTTACATTGGAGTCCAGTTCCATGGAGTTTCTTTTTTGGGGAATAATGAATTTGGGCATGAGTGCTGAGATTAAAGGCAAGCTCTGCCACCACCAACAAGCTTGTCACATCTCTGTAATTCACAGCTGAACTTCAAAAGATTCTTTCTGATAAGGAAAACCTATTAGATTTCTTCTGCATCTTTGGAGTTCAACTCTGAAAAGCATCATTGAAGCCCTTTTACTCAGATGGCTTTCTGCTGGTTTTCAGGGTTTGATTTTGGTTTCCCCGACAGAACTTAGTTTCATTTCTTCCGTAGAGGCTTTGTGGTGAAAGACTATCTTGGCAGGGGGTGAGGGGTAAGGAATGCCCCAAAAATCGCATCACGGAAGAGACCTCATGCAGTCAGGACCACGAGGGGAGCACCCACCCACGGAGACAGTGGGGCTGATCTATTGAGAGCTCACCAAGGCCAGCTGGACTGCGACTGAAAAACCATGGGATAAAACCGGACTCTCTGAATATGGCGGACAATGAGGGCTGCTGAGAAGCCAAGGACAATGACACTGGGTTTTGATCCTACTTCATGTTCTGGCTTTGTGGGAGCCTAGCCAGTTTGGATGTCCACCTTCCTAGACCAGGATGGAGCGGGGAGGACTTTGGACTTTCCACAGGGCAGGGAACCCTGACTGCCCTTCAGACTGGAGAGGGACTGGGAGAGGGGGGGGGGGAGGGGGAGAGGAGAGGGAGGGGGGAAAGAGAGACGGGGAGGGAAATGGGAGGCGGGGAGGAGGCAGAAATTTTTTTTTCAATAAAAAATTATATTAAAAAAAGAGATGTTTATTAGGGAGGTGGGAAAGACTAAGTAAAATGTCTGCTTCTGAGTGGGGATGGAGACCATGGTGAACCAGGTTGTGATGGCAAGGTTTATGAGATTTGGAACATGCGCATAGAGAAAATACAGCGCAGATGGAGATGGTAGAAGTATGTCCCATTGGCCCTAGTGATGATGGGAGGTTGACCCTTAGTCACTGAAGATGGGAGGAACCTGGCTCAGGAATGTGGGCAGAGGACTTTTGGAGGTTCTCAGCACACTGGACGGTGGCGTCTTTCAGTTGTGATTCAAGTGAGCATGATAGTTAAGAAACTAAGTTCAGGGACTGGAGAGATGGCTCTGCTGTTAAGAGCACTGGTTGCTCTTCCAGAGGACCTAGGTTCAATTCCCAGCACGCACAAGGCAGCTCACAACTGTCTGTAACTCCAGTTCCAGACGATCTGACTCTGACACCCTCACACCAACAGCTGTGCAGGCAAAACACCAATGATCATAAAATAAAAGAAACAGGGGCGGGGAGGGTGGGGGAGAGAGAAAGAAAAGTTCCTCTGTTCCTCTGTGGATACACACAAGTTTCCTTAGCTATAAAGAACAGAATGAGGTTCACAAAAGGAGAGATGGAACTGGAGACAATCAAATTAGGCAAACCAAGATTTTTCTCAGAAAGACAGATATTGT